AAAAAAAAAAAAAAGGTAAAATAAAAGCAAAGACAGACTGTTCGCCCTTCTCTTCGTCTCCTGACATCACACAACCGTTTCCACGCCCATCAGCTTTGGTGTAAGGATCCGCGGTGTCACCCCGTTGTTCAGGTCTTCCTCAAACTCCAGCAACTGCCCCATGAAGTTGAGGTTTGGGGAAATAATTGGTCGCTTGCCTTTGACAAATTTATAAGCATCAGTCATGGTCATCCGAGTGTGCTTCATCAAGTAAGCGATGACGATGGTGGCGGAGCGGGACACCCCGGCCTGGCAGTGGATGAGTAGCCCCTTGCCACACTGGTGAGCCTCCTCTGGGAAAGGCAGAAAGGCGAGAGTGAAGGCGAGGACACGGCGCGAGGGGGAGCTGTACAGAGAACTGGTAAGTCTGAATGGCTTTAACCAAGTACAGTTACTACCTCCTTGTGTATGCTTATGTCACAACCCCCAGAATGGGCTAAAAACCTTTGCATAAATAAGAAGCTAAGTCTCTACATTTAGAGAGAAGAGCAGGTGAAGGAATCATTCACAGCAACAGTTTATATCACAGCTGATGGCAGCCGACTAACCCACAACCCAGCTAATTTCCATGTTAAGCGAGCTACTAAGTAGACCCTTCTGATCAAGGATCCTCATTCCAGTTGCCAGACTGTGCGACTTATCAAAATTAGAGTTATTAACTACCTGTGAGGCGAACATGATGACCACTACACTACAGAAACAACTTTAACTACCTGTGATGGAGGAAAACCCAGTTCTTTCTTTATGCAGCAGAACAGCTCTGTACAAGAACTGGCGTTGAATAAGTGAGAATTTCAGGCTTACTAAACTCACACCGTTTAAAGGAACAAAAGTCAACTAGAAAGTTACTATGTTCAGCTTCTTACTGGTCAGCCCTGTTGCAAAGTTAGCTAAAGAGTTGTGGTCCCCAGATATAGGTGACACCTATGTCTGAACTGCTTGTTGACCCCACTGCATCCATGTGCCCACATGGCCATGACTCAAAAGATGGAGGAATTTCAGACATGGCTCAGACCAGAGCACCTGGAAAAGGCCATCCATTATAAGTTTCGGGTATATTAAAAGTTCAGGAGAATAGCTTGCCGGCACCGCCTGAATTTTTCATAACATTTCTAGACTAGAAGGCACCCCCAAGAAAGTGTCCCTAAGGGGATACCAGTTAGATGAAGAGCAGGGAAGGACAGCAGGGGAAGCGGAGTAGTGATTTAACTTAAACCTACCAAGAAAAGTATCATCATGCACATTTTCATCTGAAAAGTCTACAGAGCAGGCTTACTTGTCATAGTCAAAGTATGTCAAGGAAGTATCTCCCTTTTTCTGTATCTTCTTTTCAGCACACACTGGGTGTCGACCGCCACACCAAGACTGGGAGGCGTGCTGGTAAGAAGATGGGCCACAAGGCGCTGGGCTTGACCACTGATCCCACGTAACACCAGGTGTGTGACCTTGTGTGAGTCACCTAACTCCCCCAAGCCTCAATCCCTCTGTCTCTATTATACCAACTAACCAGTCTCAGGGGACATGGGAACAGTGCCTCCTAACTCAGAAATAAACAAACTGGCACAGTTCAACCCTAAACCAAGGCCTTTGTAGTTTACATTCGACTCTCAGTGAATGCTGTTATGTTTATTAAACTTGCTCTGTTTTCCTAAAGCAAGATTATAAGACTTGTTTACCCAATGACATAACAATGAAAATGACATCGGGCCTATGCAGGCTGGGATACGGATTTGCGGTTCAGGACAAATGCCGTCTGTAATTTGTTTTCCATCTAGAAGCGGGTAAGCCTGAACACCCTACAAGGATGCTCTGATGGCTGTTCTCTTAGAGGAAGCAGACTGCGTGCTACTCACTACAGGAAAACAATTTCCTAACTTCCCTCAACTGGACTTAGGTCAGAAAAACTGCGGCCGTAACAACATGTACCAACCAGGAAGTTCCTCATCTACTTGATGACAACAAATGTTTCTTCCCCAGGGCTCAAGGGGTGGTTCAGGTATTAATAAAGAATGTAAGGTCCCTTTGCATCCACGCGTTACCAGGCGGGAATTAACAGAGCATCGTAATCACAGCCCCAGCTTAGTGTAGAAAAGCCCTTGGCCTGGGGGTCAAGGGCCTGAGTTCTAGTCCCTTCTCTGACACTAAAACTCCCATGACCTTGGAGAAGTCCCTTTGCTTTTCTGAGTTCAGTGACCACTCAGAATTTCCTTCCAGACTGAATATTCCATGGTCCCCCACTGAAGGCACATTAGTAAGGAAAACCGCTGGGCCAAGTGGCCAGAGATGTCAGCGCCACAGCAAGCCCACCAGACCCGGAGGCTGTGGAACCCAAGGCTTTTTCTAACAGAGGGGCCACCGGACATGGGTGCATCTGTCCCCGGACGCAGGCCAGTAACAGGCTGCTGCCGTATTTAGGAAAAGGACAGGGTCACCTCTCTGTGGTAATTAAGGTTAGAGTCACTTGGAAAAAAAATCACTGAGTATCCACTAGATGCCCGGTGCTCCCCAAACGATCACTTGAGCCTTAGGACAGTCTGAGGCTGTGGAAGTGGCAAAGGTCACAGTTAGGGTTAGGATTCGGGCCTCCGCTGCCTCCTGGCCATGAAAGCCTGCTGGGCTAGGACTGTTCGGGCTACGCGACTCGACTTTCCTACTTGGGTGAGTCTGGG